AGATTAGACCCTTATTCTTTTCAAATTAATAATATTAATAATCTGCAGTTTGACAGTTACACTTGGTCAGATTTGTTGAAATAAAATAAACTTTTCAGGTTAACAAGATTAATAATCCAACATATTCTGATCTTGTTTAGTGTATGGGTCTAAAAACAAGATCAAAAATACTTTTTAGCTGATATAAGACTGTAAAACTTGGTTCAATGAACAGTTTCAGCAGTAAAGTGACTCTACTGCTTAGAAGATGAAATAAACTTCACTTTAAACCTGGTCAGGTTAGATAAATAAATCCCCTCCCATGCAACCGATTCAAGGTTTAATTAATTCAAGTTTACACCAAAATCCCAGCTTAATCCTTCATCTTAGATTGGTGCAATGGGCTGGTGGTGAAAATGTAAGACTCATACCTCTTTGCTGTGCTTGTCCAGCGCTCTGTCCTGCAGCCGTCTGCTCTCCTCCAGCTGGCTGATGGTGTGTTTGAGCTCCTCCTTGTCCTTCTCTGCAGCTTCCAGACGCAGGCTGACGTCTCCGTGCTCCTGGCTCAGTCTGGAAGCTTTCCTCTTGGCCTCATCGAGCTCAGACCTCAGAGCTCGGAGCTCAGAGTGAAGGGCCAGCTCTGCCTCGGAGCTCTCTGTGGCGCTGCTCTGCAGCTGAGCCTGAAGGAACCAGAAGAAAGTGAACATCTGTACTTCACTGAACACTGTTTTATTGTTTTTGTACCTCTAATCTGGAGAGTTTGTCTTTGAGACGAGCGCTGGTGGCCTCCTGCTCTGTGTGAGCTTCCTGCAGAGCGTTAGCCTCCAGCTGAGCTTTGCTCAGGCGGAGTCGAGTCACTTCCAGCTCCTCTTCAGTGGCAGAGTGTTTCTCTTTGACCTGATTGGCCTCACGCTGCGCCTCGCACAGTTTCTGCTCCAGCTCTGAGACGGCTGCTGGACTGGGGAGCTGCGAGGAGAAAAACAAATGTTAAAGTTTTTATCAGTCTTAGCTAACTGAACACAAACACTACACAATCTTTTTCATTCTGAGGTAAAACAAACCTGTTTAGTTTTCTCCTGGGCCTTCACGTAGTCCTCTTTAGCTTTCTGCAGCTGGTCCTTCAGCCGGTCGATCTCATACTTCAGCTCAGCCTCCTGGTTCTGGTGGGACTTTTTGATGGCGATCACCTCCATGACCTTCTTGTCAAACTCTGTCCTCTGCTTCTCCAGCTCAGACCTGAGCTTCAGCAGATCAGCACCGCTTCGCTGGAGCTCCTGAACAGTTTGGTTTCAGTTTGATGGCCTTTCAAATGATTTTATTTATTTAGTGATTTACTGAGAGTTTACTGCACCTGGTTGAGAGTTTCTGTGTGACTCGTGTCTGGTTTCTGCTGTTTCATGGAGCTGATTTTCTCCTTCAGCTCCTTCAGCTCATCCTCACACTCGTCCTTCTCCAGGCGGATCTGCAGAAGCCTGAAAAATGTCCCCAAACCATCAACAACTCATAAAAACACATGCTTTAAGTACTTCTTCATTCTCTCATTAGCTGCGGTTCGATTTAAATTAGTCGTTAATGAACAAACGATTATTAAATCTTCACACAAAGTAGGTGAACTCACAGGAAATCAAGTCTACGACAGGGTTTAACTAAAACACAGACGTTTCCACACCTTTTGTGTTTTAATCAATCTGCTTCCATATAAATCACAGATTTTACTCCTTTATTATATGGAACCAATTATTACACGCTTGTTTAAACTTGGCTGCAACACTGCTCACGTTCAAATTAAGAGCAATAAATGTGATGTTTTAGTTGATGAGCCAAACAAACTCTTTGAAATGAGCTTAGAGCAGTTGTGAATTAGACTTTATGTCTGATAAATGAGGTAAACTGGGTGTGGATGGTCTTCACACTACAGTCAGACAGATGGAGGTGCAGTTAGTCACATCTAAACATCCAGATCTAAAACAGAAAGGTTGTTAAATCTGTGACCCTCACTGTGTTTCAGGGATGCTGGGTGGCTCTCTGAGAGAGGAGGACAAAAAGTGACCCGGCAGAGAGAGAGAGAGAGAGAGAGAAGAAACAGATTAGTAGGAAGTGCACAGAGAAACCAACACATAAGGTGATAAAAACCTGGTGAACAGAGGGAAATGTAAACCCAAGCAGGTGAACTAAGAGCAGGAGAGCTCAGTGAGTGGCTTTAAGCGCTCACTCTTGTTTGGTGGAGCGCAGCTCGTCTCTGGTGGCGTGGAACTGCTCCATCCAGTGGCTGCTCTCGTCTCTGCAGTCCTCCAGCTGCTGCTGCAGGGAGCGAACCGTCGAGTTCACGCGCAGCCGCTCCGCCTCGATGCCTGCGTGAGACTTCAGCGGGACACACAATCTTCAGTTTTATACAACAGAGTAGAGCAGAGCAGAAATATCCTTTTTTGTTCAGCCGAGGGGAAATTCAAGTGTCTCAGCAGCATCAGCACAGAGGTTCACACACTAGTTATTTTACAAACAGTACACAAAACAAAATTAACACTGACTAGCCATGATATGACTACTACTAATAAAAATATAATACAAAGAATTGTGCAAGATTAGAAAAGATATATTTTGTTTTAGAAACAATATATCAGGCATTAGGAATCAGAATTTCCCTGATTACAGTGCAAAACAATCTCAGATTAATAAGTAGCTGCATTTCCATTCACCATGAAAATGCACAAATTAGAATTTCGAAAATAAATTTGCTCAATGGAAACACGTCAGTTTTGAAAAAAATACGTTTTTCGACAAAATGTTTTTGCTCTAGGATGAGGTGGTTTTTCGGCCGTATCTAAATTGGTGTTTTTCACAAAACTGCAATGGAAACACTTTTTTCACATCACAGGAGTCACGTGATCAACAACCATCTGTTTCTACTGGTGAAAAAGACGATGATGAAGAAGATAACAGGAAGTAGAAGTAGTAGTAATATCACAGAAGTAGTATAAAATAGTAAACTCAGCGACTACAATTTCCCAAAAACACAGCATACGTAGCCGCTCCCAAGTAGGGACTTGTCTCTGGAAAGCCTCGATAAAAGACGCCGACGTCTCCTCTGATGATGAGCGCTAGTGTCGTGGTAGCAACATGCTATGTGTTTACATCCATCGCTGCCATGTTTGTAATGACTTATCATGAGAACAAACGTATTCACGTGACTTTAATAACATTTATTACTTAATGGAAACACTGCAGTTGTGAAACTGTTTTTTCGACATTAACAGAATATCAACAAAGTTTTGCGCACATTTGTAATAGAAACACAGCTAGTGTAAAGCACCACAGTGCAGACAAGAAACACAGATGTGCAATTACAGCAGAGTTATTTTTAAGTTTAAAATGGGTAATAACAGAGCAGGTGATTGCTCAGATTAGTAATAATGCGTGTTGGTGGGAACCCGGCTTGAGGCCTTCATGCAGAGGAACAAGTAGAACGTTCTGGAATGGTCATCTCAGTCCCAGACCTGAATATTATTGAAAATCTGTGGTGTCACTTAAAGAGAGCTGTCCATGCTCAGAAACCATCAAACCTGAATGAACTAGAGATGTTTTSTAAAGAAGAATGGTCTAAAATACCTTCAGACACAATCCAGACTCTCATTAGAAGCTGMAGGAAGTGTTTAGAGGCTGTTATTTCTGTGAAAGGAGGAGCTACTAAATACTGGGTTAAGGTTTTTATGGTGCCCAAATTTATGCACCTGTCTAATTTAGTTTTAACAATTATTGCACACTTTCTGTAAATCATATCAACTTCATTTCACTTCTCAAATATCACTGTGTTTGTCCTCTATATGATAGATTTAACTGAATTATTTTATCCAATCAATGATTTATAAAAGTAAATTAGGAAAATTAACAAGGTTGCCCAAACGTTTTCATATGAATAACAAACATTCTGTTCATTAAACTCAAACTGTGACATCATTAATAATCTTTATAATAAAGTGAATCTGACTCAGAGGGAAGCAGAGCACACTGATCTGACACACTGTCTGTTAAAAACTCTGAGACACCAAGCACAGCTACAGTGTGTGTTTTCTGATACTCTTGATAAACAACCACAACAGTTGTTTATTATGAAGTTGTGTGACAAAGACAGAATCATCCCTGATAAGTGTTTGACTGAGTGCTGCTGTTCATGATCAGGATTATTAAAACTACAAAATCTACTTGAAGAAAAACAAATTGAATCATTGAATGTGATGAAACTAAACTCAGAGACTGGAGCTGATATCATTTACAATCATCCATCATGCTGCTGCACAACAGAAGGAGTCTGATCATTAGGGCTGAGGCCTATGGATCTCCTGCATACTAATATATTTTCACCTCTGCCAAGGGAGGAGCTTATGTTTTCCAAGAAAATAAAACAAGTTTTTCCTGAAAAGAAAACAACTACTGTTGATTCTATGCTTAGCTGTGTGCGACATATTCTACAGTGAGAGGGCAGAGAGAGAAATTAGGATGATTTGTTCCTTATGACAAGATTTCAGGTCCATATGAGAAAATATTAACATTTATTCTGGTAGGACATCATCAAAAACAAGTCAAAACTAACTCCTGTCTAGAACACGACCCCCCAACTTTATGGATGATTTTTGTGGTTAAATGTTTCACATTGTGACACTCAGCTGGGACACACCTGAGACACCTGCTCCATGCTGCTGCGCAGCTTCTCCATGTCCGTTCTGTACTGCTCTCGCAGCACTTCGATCTCTCGGTCGTGTGTTGCCACCTCTTCCTTCAGAGCGCCTTTCAAAGCCGTGAGCTCTCTCTCTCTTTGTCTCAACGTTTCCTCCAGCTTCTGTTTCAGCTGGTGAACGTCCATCAGCTGGGCCTGACAGGACAGCAGATCCTGCAGGTGGAGGCAAACACACAGCACTCACTCCACTTTCACCACCAAATGTAAAAACATTGGTTTCCACAGTTTAACCTCTTCAGACCCAAGGGCTTTTTTTATGTTTATTCTCAAAACACCATGCTGAAATGTAACTGAGTGTATCTCAGCATTTATAAACTCTCCTTAAATAATCTTGGTATCAAAATAAAGCAACACTTGGGAGATTTTATTAAAGGTCTAAGTATTAAAACAGCTGCTGTGGTTTTAGACATATTGAGGATGGAACATATATATATATATATTTTTTTTTCTCTCTCACCTGAATATTTTTTTCATTAAACAGTATATAACCCATTTAAAACCATAATGAATCAGACTAAAAACTCTTGGAAACCATAAACTCACTTGTGGACATCACCTGTACAAAGATTCATGCTGCTAAAATGAACTGGAGCAAAGTTACAGAGGTTTTAGTAAAGAAATAATTTAGTGTTTAGTCATTCTG